GCCACTGTCGCCATCACCGCCACCGCCACCACTGCCGCCGCTGTGCAACTCCCTGGCGCATGCCGGAGGTCCCCTCACTGGCTACGAGCCCCACAAGTCACCACCAGTCACCACACATCACCACACATCACTGCGTGCCCTCGGCCCTCGACCCCCGCCAGGCTCCCAGGCGGCCGTCGCGCCACGTCTCGTCCCCCGCTTTATTCCTCCGCCCGCTACCCTTAGCCCGCAGCCCTCGGCCCTCTGCCCGCCCTGGGAGCCCGGTGCGCGCCCACGCGATTCCCAAGTGCGGGTCAGCCCTGCGCCTCTCCTCCATACGTCTCTATCTTCTATCGCTTCGCCTGTGTTTTTCCCCTTGCGTACATCGGAACTTAAAACATCGCAGCCAGCACATAAATATTTACCATTTCTACCGTAATTGCTTCGGGATGTAGAACTCTGAGGTGTTTTCCTTCGAACCGATTTTTTCTCTCCTTTTTCTCTCCTTATTTTGTAAACCTTCTCTCAGGCGTTCTTTATCTCTCAAATACACGCGTATTTCGTTCTTGTTTTTAAGCGGAAGTGAAAGGTCTAATAAACTTCTGCTATGAATAGCTGTTTATTTTTGCTGAGAATTTCCCGCCGTCGTTGTATATTCATAGTATGAACTTATTAATTAAATTTAGATTTCAAAGCCAAACGTTCTGAGAAGTTTATGTTCCTGCTTGCCTATGTACAGACAGAGGAGTGAGGTGCTTTCAACTTCTATCTCCTTTCTCACGTTTAGCTTTGAAATGTAATTAATCTTTTCCGTCATGTTTCATTAATTTTTCGTTCTTATGAAAATTAATGTCTAAGAAATTTTAATCAAAATAATAACTAAATGTTATTTAAATGAAAGAATTTCTCGCCATTTTGCTTTATCTTCATTAGGGTCGAATTAATCCTTGAAATATATTTGGTGAATGATATCCAGAGAGAGTGGATTAAAAAAGTAAAAAATCTCATTAAATTAGGCATTTTTGCTTCACAACAGCTCTGGTTGTTAGCGATAGGACATTGTTTTATGGAATTGAAAGAATATTATGGCCGAGCTCACATATTAGAACTTAAACAATGTTATGACAAACAATGAATTATATTTAGTTATTTGTTTATGTATCGTTAAAATGTCTGTGATGTATGGGGAAGAAGTACATTTTCTGCTGAGTTTTTTATCTCTGGAATCACTATCCACGATTTTATTACATTAATTGGAATTATTATAGTATTTAGCGTGCTTAGAATTTTTAAAAGAAATAACTAGAAATATAGGCTCGCAGACAATAAGAACTATTTTCATCGGCTTTGCAAATGAGCTACACATTGTGACTTGTATCCCATAACATCTCACACGTAAGAAGTCCATTAGCTACCGCGAGAACATGACTGTAAATTATAATCTATAAATAATTATTTGCTGTATCGGATGGTTATGTAACCAAATTAGCTAAAGTGTATTGTATTTTATGAAAGAATCAAAGATTATGAACTAATACAGGATGACTGAAACCAAACAAAGGCTAGTGTAGTAGATGATCAAGACTAATATTGACTAGGAATGCATTGAAAAATAAGAGTACAATTGCAACTAGTGGTAATACAACACGTATATTCTCACATAATTCGCAGCTTTTGTGATTTTCGAAAATTCAGACGTTAATCGAAACTTCAGAAATTCACCGAAAATTATAACTATGCAATGTTTTAGTGCCCTCTTCGCTACCCGAGGTAAAAAAGTTTTAAACATTTGGAGCAATTTTTAAAAAAATCTTATAATTTGCTCTTACTTCTTTCACTAAAAAAATTTCACACATTACGAAATTTCACATTACCTTAAATAGAACTCTAATTTCTTAGAACGTATTTTACTTAAAAATATCTCTCATCAGTATTGTAGTTTTCAAGTTAATGTTTTGCAATTTTCGACGATATATAAAGTTCACTTAAAATAGGATCTGCGTCAATTTTATAAGCGTATATTTCACTAATTCAGAAAAACTGCGGAAATACTTTTTTTAAATATTGCCGATACTTCCGGCAAAATTAAAAGAGGACTCACATTTTCGAAAAATTGCCTGACTCACACAATTTCCTCTATTTACTGTTGCCAGAATTTTTTAAAAATTTTATTTACTCGCTTACTCCTTTATTCGTTTACCCGTTGACTTATATACTTAAACAGATAAAGACGTTCTGATGGTCACTATAATAGTAATAATAATAATATAATATTAATAATAATAAAATCAACAACAACAATAATATAAATATATGTTTTTGTTTTTTGACAGTCAATCAGTATGTTTATCGCCATAAAACTATATTTTTCATACACGACGTTTCTCATGTTGGTTACCCATTTACTTTATTTGTTTATTTATGCTGATGACGATAACGCGTGTCCAACGTCTGCGCAGTCGCGGCCCCCAGCGCGACGCACGGATACGTGGAGGTGGTGATCGGCGTGCTCACCGCCGTCATGCTTCTTCTGCTGCTCGTATTCGTGGTGATCCTCTTGGTGAGCAGGCGACACAAGCTACAAGGCTCCCCGACGATTCTGCGCAACCCCTTTGGCGTGACCGTTAACATGAAGGTGAGTACTTTTCTTGCAGTTTTATCCTCCTGGAAAGTTTACCCTCTGATGACCGAGGAAAATAGCGATCGCTTGGGGATGGTACTCTGTCGCAGTTGAGTTTAAAGTAGTAAAGTGAATCGTGCATATGGTATGTTGTGTGTATCAATTTTTTTCCACCCAGAAACTTGTCAGTGCGTGAAATGTTTGACCTGAAGTTTGCGTTTTCGGGATTCTATTTTATGCGCTGTTTTCCTTGATGTCCTGATTCCGTTCCAGCCCCACCTCTCACAACTGTCAAACACGTCTAACGTAACGTGGCCGCCTTACTGTTGGAGAGTTTTCGCACGAATCAATGCTCTATGACCGATTCGCTCCCTTTTTTTATGTAACGCCAGATAACATTAAAAACTGCGTGTGACGTCCTACAGAAGAGAAATCAGTTCCCGTGTACGTCCAATCTGTGCGTCGCCTCCGCGTGGAATGGCGAATAGCGGCGCGGCGTCGCTCGGCGTCGCGCGCGCATAGCAAGCGTTCGCCGCAGGCGCGACGAGCGGTCAGCGGCCCAGCGCGCGCCCGGCAGCGGAGAGCGCCAGATCTCGCTTTGCCTCTGTCGCTCCACGCGGCGGCGAGAAAAAACAAACAAGTCATTTACCTCTCCACAATACTCCCGAGCCACATCGTCATCTCGTTCCGCTCCAAGAGGAAATCTGAATTGACCTGCGCGCGGCCATTCAAATGGCGTTCATTTCCTATGGATGTGCTGTGTTTTCCAACAGAGAGGCGTCGTGTGATGAAAGAAAAGCGCTTGCAAAATATTTCGGCTCGCCGCCGTGATTGGTCATTTGTTAGTTGTTTGTACTCGTACATAACCCTCGTTTTGCGCGCCAGAAAAACGTCATCGAGAAACGAAATGACAAATAGCTTCAAACGTTAAATACGAGATAATGTAGCTGTATCGCACTCGGCTGTTGAGGGCCTTTGGGCCAAGGAGAAATAAATTTAAAAAACCTAAAACTTAAATGGCGTTGAAATACTGAACTTGTAAAATAACCGGCCGATAGGTTAGTAGTTATACTAATAACATGAGAGAGATGTAAATGGAATGATTTGTAGACAGGATGAATTTGTGGTGCAAAATAAAATTAACTGCGCAACAAAGATACGAACTTCAGGCAATATATTTATGCGGCTCAAGGTCATTTTGGAGAAAGCTTCCTCGCGAGATGGCTGCCCTCTCCACTTTCCTGGACCCCGACAGCAATCGCCTGACTTTCGCCCAGTGCTTCCTGCGTACCTGGAAATGAGTACTAGGCAGTGGGGTGCGTGACGGCCAAGGAGCGAGAATAGTAGCGAGAAGGAGCTGCGCACCTAAATAAATCATCTATACTATAATAAAAGCACGGGCTTGGCCCTGCACTGTCGTGTAGCGCACGTGCAGGAGGATAGCTGATGGCGGTTGCGCCGTGTGTGGATGCGTGTGCGTGACGTGCGTGCGAGTGGAGCCCGCGTGACGAGTGTCCCCTGACGCGCGTTGACACGCCCCCGTCCCCTCGTAGGACAAAGGTGCACCCAGTTTCACCCCTTTTATTACTTCCCTTTGGTGGAATATGTAATAAGACAACGTGGTGTATTTCAACAAACATCCATATGAAAAGGCGGACACTACAAATTTAGTCTTCGTCAAATAATTAAGGTTCAACTCATCAAAATGAATCACTAATTATTTGAAAATGAATTAATACTAAGACACAATATAATACGTTTCAAAATGCGTATGATTAAAATTAATATTTTTAATTCAATGTTTGAAGGTCGCACAGCTCCGTACAAATAATGGCTCAAGCACCTGCGTGAGAACTATCTGCGACCAGCGGCGAGTCAATGTTGTGCTGCCGCGCCGCTGTGAATACCTGCCTACCATTTAGTACTGTGCAGAGAAAAGATTGTGTACATCATTTCATTAAAGGAGAACAGGATATCTGCGTTAATATTACACTTTTAGAAAAACCGTTTTCAGCTTTCATGCACGGAAACAACCTTTTGCCTTCACTAGTTATTGTTCGGAAAATGTTACCTTGCGGTCCGCGTGCGTCCAAAAAGAAGGGTTCTGCAAAATAAACAAACCACTGGAGCGACATGAATCAATGGCCGCCACCTCGTATATTGAGAGTGATCTCTACATACACTTCTCGATGTCCATCAATTATGGCTGAAATACACATATAATGCAACTTGTACGAAAGTGTCTTTGGCGTACGTTCCTTTTTTACTGGGCTCCCGCAGTCGCATCGTCCGTCATTATTGAATTCGTTCGCCGACTCACTTTGTGTACTATTTAAGTAACTACGAGTAACCATTGTACAAAGCAGTTGGTCATTACGAGATACATACGGTGATGTCGCATGGTAAGTCTGGGGAAACTGTGCATTAAGCGATCGTGTTCGTGTTCATTGACGCAGGACCTTCTGATGAACCTGGCGCCCGTGAACGGCGGCGCGGGCCCGCTGCACGCCAGTCAGGCCGCGGCGTCGGCGTCCGCCTCGGGCTCGGCCTCCGCCTCGGCGTCGGCCTCGGCGTCGGCGTCCGCGTCGGCCGCGGCCCTGCTGCTCACCTTCGAGCAGCACCTGGCGGCGCGCGCCGCCACGCCCCCCGCGCCCGCGCCGGCCTCCGCGGGCTGCGCTCTCGCCGCCGGCCCGCCCCGCCGCGAGACCTCGGGCCTGTCGGCGGACCTCTCCGCCGACCTGTCGCTGGAGCTGGAGCTGCCCGTGGGCACGTCGTCTGGTGAGTACAACAATCTTCACCCCAAGTCCATGGCTAAAGCCAGTTCGCGTCGCCACGAGCATCCAGCGACAGGTCGGTGGACCTCTCCGCCGATCTGTCGCTGGAGCTGCCCATGGGCATGTCGTCTGGTGAGTACCACAATACTGAACCTAGCTCCATGGATAACCGCAGACCGCTCCCCCTCGAGCACTCGGGTCACTCGACAGACTTCTCTGCCGACCTATTGCTGGAGCTGGAGCTGCCCGTGGGTACGTCGTCTGGTGAGTACCACGACTCTGAACCCATCTCCAGGGCTAACGCCAGCCCGCGTCGCCGCGAGCACTCGGGCCTCTTGACAAACTTCTCCACCTACCTGTCGCTAGAGCTGTCCGTGGACATGACTGGTGAACACCTCAATCCTGAACCCATTTCCATGACTAACCCCAGCTGGCTCCGTTGCAAGCATTCGGACATATTGGCGGACTCTCCGATGACCTGTCGCTGGAACTACCCATGGGAAGGTCGTCTGGTGAGAATCATAATTATAAATGCGTACCCATTCCGCCGCGACTCCTCGGGGCTATCGGCAGACCTGTTGCTGAAGCTGCTGCTGCCCGTGGGTACGTTCTCAAGAGAGCTACCTGCACAACGCCGGTACGCGCCTCCCCTCCCCTCCGCGGACTTTCGAGCCTCTTAGAAGAGAGTATCCGCCCCATAGAGATCTCGCTTTCTCAGCCCTCGAGCCTCTCGGCGGAATTTATCATTGGTTTTGAGGTGCCTGCTGTCTCATTCTCAGTTGAGATCCACGCCTCTGACCCCCTAGGCTCCTTTGGCCGCGGGGTGGCTGCCTTAGGAAGCCTTTTCGACAGATTACTACGTCAGCAGACCTGTCTCTTTGTCAAGTATTTTTTCAGTATTGCATGCCACTTATACATTAATATCCGAGTAGACGCTGTAACTGCTCGTGGGTTCATCGTCGAGTGAGTATCACCTCATCCGGTCACCACGTAATAGAGAGTACGTAGATTGTAAGTCAAATGCACCCTCGGCCCTGGAATCTCCTCCCCTTCTTCCAAACAACATTTGATACACTTCAGGAGTGAGTGAGTATTGATTTAGAGTATGACCCTAGTGAGGTCATTGGACCCACAAGTCTTGTTATATTCCTGGAAATTGCTGTGTTCTTCCCCCGGGGAACGTGAGATTATCCGCTTTGAATTGAATTGAATTGAATTGAATTAATGCCTTAAATATATGCCTTATACGTGGTGAGACTCGGGCCATCAAGCTCGCACTTCCGTCTGACCACGCAAATTTCGCTACGCTCCTTTCACCAACTAGCGGAGAAAGTGGGTATTTTTGGGGCGTAAAACAGGCGATTTCAATTTAGCTCAGAGGCTTCATTTAGGCTCTTTTACATGCAAGTAAACAAACTAACATGGGACCGCCGGCTTTACTTCACCTCCGAAGGAAGGCATACGAAGGATTTTCTCCCCCTTACAAATCCACGGCATCGATCGGGTTTGAACCCGCAGTCCGATGCGCTAACCATTACACCATTGCCGCCGCTTTGCAGTTTTTCCGTCCGGGCGCCTCTCCGCCTGGTGAAATCGTAAGTACACGATTGGTCTCCTGACATACGGGGTAGTGTAGTGCACGTGAGCGTGTATGTTTTGTGACCGTGGCCCGTTTGCAAAGTTTATAGCATCCTGCCGCAAGGATTCTCCTCACAACCGTGGTTGAATTTGACTCAGCAATGAACCTAGTGTTGTAAATCCACCTCCGTCGAAACTCATAGCCCAAAGATCTCCCGGTCAACGATGCTGCAGAGTGAACCACAGTACTGCTACGCTTTTGCAGCCTGTCCGTGGACACTCTTTGAGTGTTTACGTCTCCGACGATTCAGATCGCTGCCACGTTAACTCGTTGATTATCATTGTTACGCCTAAATTAAATAATAATTCTGCTTCAACCCTACTGGATATCTCATTTTAAAAATACGTTTATTTGACGTATACAGTTTATGATCTCTCATTCACTTCATAGTTCTTGATAAGCAAATCATGACTTCTATAATTGACACAGATAAGTCTGCAATTACTTTGACATTAATTCATCCAAACTGAATATTTATAATTGAAGGAAAGTGCACTAAACAAACCGTTTAAAAATATGATTTACAATGATTATTCTTTGATTAAAAGTTGGTATATTGCGAAGTTAGTTGAAAGTCTTAGTTGACTGCCCGGACTCTTCGATATTCGATGGTTGGCGTTATCCGTTTACCTTCAAAGGGCATGGCGTCGAAAAGGGTGGTCGTTTTTACGCGAAGTGGCACATTAGTAAGGTAAAAGCACGGGTAGTTGACATGTCATCAGTGGTTGACACTTTCAAATACACAACAAACAATTCAACTCAAATCATTGCCAGACTCGTATGATAGTTTCTGCTTTACAAGGTAGATGGCTTTACCGTACAGATATTATATAAATCGATAATAACAGGGTAGTTATTTTCTTATTTATAAGCATTACATTTGAAAGTGTCAACTACTGATGACAGGTCATCTGCCGGTATCTTTACCTTACGGATAAAACTGTTACTATCCCGAAGGTGAATTTCCACTTTAAGCTAAAGCGATGTGTCGATGTCAGACTGTATGTCGCGAAATTCATCTCTTCATTATATTTGACAATATTTTTCTCGCATATCAAAGGACAGCAATGAAGGTGTTGTTCTTTTTTTTTCGTCTGCTGTTTGATCTGTTCTAAATACGAGCTGGCGAGGAGATTACATGTGCCTTGGGTTCTATAGTTGAGAATGTATTTTGAAACTTACATTTGTCGCCACCCAAATGCATATGCATCTATAACAACATGTAAATTGCCTACATACAAGCGTGTACATACCAATGGCATCTCCATTTCTTCTAAGTAGTCTCCCAAGGAGTTGTCCAAAAGCTTTCAACGATGAGAAGGGCTTCAAAAACCTTCAGCCTCGGCATCAAAGAATCTCTTCTGCTCCCGTGTCATTGCTGGAGCAATGTTCTCCGGAGTCAAAAAGCATGTTCCACCATTTACTTTATCAACTACTTTTTATTAATTAAGAATTCAGTTACCGTACCTACCCTTACGTGAGGGGGATGTGTGAATTTAACTTCGGGGTACTTTACAAGAGGCCGTGACAACATTTTCATAATTTTATCAATGGATGTTTAAAAATAGCGCAGCTTTTTCATAGTTGAATGGTAAAGTTTCGAAAATTTCAAAAGTTCAAATTTGTTTCGACGTCAGTCTACGAAGTCAGTATTGAAGATAGATATTTTTATATAAAATATGTTCGAATGTAAAATACGATCGAATCTCGATAGCAATAGCATTTTTGATGCCAGTAAGTAGATGAGTCAACAACGGCAACTGGGTGGATGAGAGTCCTAGGAACTGGTTATTTGATCAGTCGTGTTTCCTTCTGCCAGTTCCACACGACGCAGAGACAGTTACGGCCGATATCCTTTTGTATTTTGAGGCCACACCCTTTTTTAGGGTCGGGCATTGTGCTGATCATCCATCCTTATGATGTTCGGTCGTTCAACGAACACGCAGAGAGAAGTCCAAGATCCAATTTGGATATAACGAACTTAGGAATAATGTTAATAATAATTATTATAAATAATATAAGAAGAAAAATTACCCCATCCTGAGACAATGCCAATAACTTCGCCTTTATATATCAAGATTTAACAATAGTAAATTTTTTTCCATACCAAAATTCGTCATTTAGAATTTTCTTTAAAGTTCTGACGAAGTAAGCAGAAGTTTTAATTTAAGCTTTTCAATTAATAAATTAAAAATTAATGAACTAATACTCCAAAGAAGTTTGGCAACGCACGTTTTTTCTACGTCTATTGTGGACAAGCGCAGGCAGCTCGGCAGCGAGCTTGCGGCCATCTGCGCGCAGCTTAATCTTCCACGAGCTGGGCTCGCGGTTCCTCGCCGCAGGCGGAGTAGTTCTCAAGCCGAGGTCTTCGGAATTTGCATGGGAAAGCGTCACATGTTGGTTTCCGCAACGGCGAAAGGTCGACGGCGGCGCGGGGCGCGGACGGCGCGGGTCTGCGCGCGGGAGGATGGAGGCGACAAGGACGGCGGCGTTGGCGATATGTAGAGCGTGGGGGGAAGGGAAGTGCGGAAAGCGTGGTTGGGGCGTGGGCGAGACACGGGTGTGGCGTGGAGGCGTTGAGGAACAGAGATGACCAATGCTGCGCGGGTTGAGCGTTATGGTGGCTCGGAGATGACTTGGAGGGTTGAGATCGGCGACTTCGTGGCGTACGTTGATATGGGGTGACGGAGAAAGAGTGACCCAGATATCGTCAAATGATTGTGAGGGTGGCGCGGGGAACGTGGGGGTGGCTTGATGATGGCTTAGACAAGGCTTGAAGCTAGCTTTGCGGTGGCGTGGGGGTGGCTGGGAGATGGCGTGGGGTTGGTGTGAGGATGACCTGAGGGTAGAGGGTGAGGGAGGCGTAAGG